TTACTTTCCTTGATGAGCTCTAGAGCAGTTTGCAAGGACTTGAACTCTGATATCTTCCTAAGTTCAAAGAATTGCTGGTGAAAAAGCATTGACATTAACTGTGAAAATGTATATTTGTGTAGCATTCCTACTTTCTTCTGTAGACATGTGTTACTTCTCAAAACGTCAACTCAAGCACCAGAAATTGTTTTTAAGGAGAAAGAGAAAGCGTGGCCTTTTTTTTGAGAGTTTCCCTCGTCATTCCATTTTGTAGCATTTATCAGTTTGTTACTTATATCTTTTGATAAAATAATTTGTTCCTATGTCTGTCAGCCATGCTAAACCACCAGCTCTATGAGAGCAAGGAGACTGTATTTTTTTGTCTTTGTGTCTGTAACACCATCACAGTGCTTGTCCTGTGTTGCAGGTACTCAATACATTTTTGTTGAACTGATTAATTAGAATTGAGCTATATGATATTTCTTAAAGATATATTTCTAAATCTAAGATTAGTCAGTGGCAAGTATGTTTTTGTGTTAATTTTTCAAAATATAGTTTTCTTGAGGCTTCTTGCCTTTGGAGTAAGAACATTTTATTTACATATAGTCCTTACAATTCATACATAACATAACTTGTGCATAAAAATAAGTCAAAGAAAAATTTAAAACAGTTCCTTTTTTAGCTGTTATTGAGTGTTGTGAAGTACAGGAAGAGTTTTTTGTTTTGGTCCCTTGGGCAGTAGAATTGGAAGTAAGATACTGGGATTTATTTTAAGAAGCAAGGTATCTAAATATTTTCTTATTAAGCTTAAGAATGATTTATTTTAGTTTTTATTTTCTCTGCTAATTTAAGTATTATGTATAATAACAATGTAGATAAATTAACTGTAATGAGAAATACATCATAACACATTAAAAATGCTATTCAACTAAAATAGTGATAATGATGACTGATTTTTTTTTTTAATTTAAGTAAGGCTTATTGAGGTATAATTTACACAGTGAAATTCACTGTTTTAGGTGTACGGAAGTTTTGACAAACATATACAGTCTCGCAACCACTATCGTAATCAAGACATAGAATATTTCCATCACCCCAAAAAGTTACCTTATGTCCTTTTTATAATAAGTTTCCTACCCCTTCTCCAGCCCCTGGCAACCAGACCTAATTTCTGTCTGCACAGTTTTTGTTTTTTCTGGAATGTCATATATATGGTATCATATAGTATGTAGGCTTCAATGTCAGGTTTCTTTCACTTAGCATAAGACTTTTGAGATTCATCCATGTTGTTGCATGTATTAGTAGTTTGTTAGTGACTGAATTTTGAAATTGAATTTAGTATGCTATTTAACTTTGGTACTATGTCAAAAAATGCTTTGAACAGCTTTAGATATTTCTCTCAGATCTTACAGCTGCTTTATTATTGGACGTAATTTTATTTGCCCGGTTTTACCCCTCACCTCCAAAAATCTTGTAATTGACATTATTAAGTGGCATTTATTTATATTAGTTAATTCTGTTAGGTTAGATGCTCTAACAAGCAGGTAAAGTAGACATTGCCCTCTTTTTTATCATAATTAAAGTATGTAGCATCATGTATTTTGAATATATCATATATCCCTTAGAAACTGGAACAAGAAATGAGGGATGGTACAATGATAACTCACCAAAAATTGAGTTTACATTTTGCTTTAAGTTTAATGTTTGTTGTTTATACTAAAAATAGAGCATAGTTTATAGTGAAGAACAGTCATTGCCTCTCTTGTAATGCTTAAAGTTAGAGAAGCAGTGCCATTTGCTGCACGTTGGGGCAGATAATGAGAAAAGGGCCATTTTCTAGTCATTTTATTTGACCACCTCTTGTGGTCACCTCTTTTCCCAACAGCTTTCTCCCTGGGATTCAGGGGTATCAGTGTCTTCTTGTTCTTCCCTTATGTATTTGACCTCTCATTTGTACACTCTTGATAGTTCTTCCTCCTCTGCTCACCCCTTAAATGTTGATATTCTCAAGCTGGTTCTTCAGCCTTGGTTCTGGTCTCTCTTCCTATTGATCTCATCTATTCACGTGACTTTTTACGTGCTTGCTACCTGTATGGTGATAACTCACATATCTATCTCCAGAATATATTTCTCTGCTGAGACAGATCCAGCTGTCTACTAGGCACATCCTGGTATCCCATAAATACTGTAAATTCGAAAGTATATAAATATGAACTCATCCCTCAATTCTTCCCTACTCTTACCCCTCTCCTACCCCAAAAGAAAGAAAACTATTCGTAAAACTGTGAAATAAATTAATGTTTCCACCATCAACTCGGTTGTCTAAACTAGAAACTTGGTGATAATGCTTGACCCTTCTCTTTTACTGTACCTCCAATCCAGTTCTTCACTCAGTTCTGACATTCATAGCACCTCCCTGAATATCACTTGAATCCATCCCTCCTCTGCTGTTTTGATTCTGAGAGTGGACATGTACATACAGCTTGTCAGATGGGATAATTTCTAGCATTTTTAGAAAGATTTAGAGGTAATTGTGAAAAATGTATTTAGTGTTAGGATACATTTTGCTCATATGGGCTCTGGTATTTAAAATTTAGTTGTAATCCTCACTAACATTCATGCTTTATAGCCTAAATGCAACTGTCTTCTGTACTCATTTCCATTATATCTAAAATCTAGGGCTTCTGACTTAGAACTCAGTGTATCAACTACAATAGTTTGAACTCAGCCTTTATCTTTCCATACCTTACTTTTGGAGTACTACGTTTCATGAATGTGTACACTTATTTTATTTCTGTGTGTTTATGTGTTCACGAGTAGTCTGAGTTGAGAAGAAAATGGGGCTGTAGGAGGAAAAGTAAAGGAAGGGCTTTTTAATTGACTTTGCTATACTGTGAAAACATGTTCACTTGAATAGCATTTTCACTTTTATTGCAGATAACAGAAAACTGAAGAAACAAATACAGTAGGATATGCTACTATTTGGTTGCTAGAGACACAAACATTTATAATGGCAAGAGTCAGATGTGTTGTAACTGTATTACTTGTTCGTGAGTTCATGATTTTGTATAACTTTACAGTGTTTCTTCCATAGAATAAGAAGTTATCCCCTTCACTCCTCAATTTGAACAAAAGGATCTGCTTAGAGTTATTGGTTTAAATAACTCTGAATATTTCTTTTGTAAAGAGCATCTTAAAATGTGATGCTATCTTGAAAAACAAAGTAAACATTTTCTTCACTGTATCTGGAGTTTATAACTGAAGAAATAATAGGTGTTATATTTTGCTCTAGTACTAATTACCATGTTTTCAAGAAAATGGGATCAATCCAAAGGCAGTTTACAAAGGCTGTTAGGAGAACCTGTTATTGAGTCTCTATGGTGGCTTGCACATAGTAAGCACTCAGCAAACAATTGTTGAATAAATGAAGTTGAATTATATTTCGGTTTTGGAATATAGGACTAATTGGAGTGACAGAAGATGAGTGGGGCTTGCTAAATATTGAGCAAGTTTGATAGAAAAAGAAAATATGAAGCCCAGAAAAGGTAGGGCAGCATTTAAAGCAAAGAATCAGTATAATTTAGTTAATTACTTGTATTTGGACATATAGGTTTGCTTAGCTGGATAAGAGAAAGATCTGTATACAGAAGTGTTTTGAATTCTTTCTGTTTTTATTCCCACTCCAGCTTTGCTTCTGGTTTCACGTATTACCTCTGGACTTCCATCTTCACTGCTAAGGGACAAATTAGTAGGCTCAGGGCTAAAATGACCTGCATAATCCAGATATGCATATTGGAATTGGGTTGTATTGGTGGGAAAGGGAGCGAGGTATTTTAGTTCTCGAATCTTTTCCAGTTATTTATGGTTTGTAGTGTATGTCAAAGTGCCATTGCATGGGCCGGGCCCGTGGCTTAGTGGTTAAGTGCGCGCGCTCCACTGCTGGTGGCCTGGGTTCAGATCCAGGCACACACTGACACACCGCTTGTCCGGCCATGCTGAGGCGGCATCCCACATACAGCAACTAGGAGGATGTGCAACTATGACATACAACTATCTACTGGGGCTTTGTGGAGAAAAAGGGAAAAAAAGAGGAAGATTGGCAATAGATGTTAGCTCAGGGCCGGTCTTCCTCATCAAAAAGAGGAGGATTGGCATGGATGTTAGCTCAGGGCTGATCTTCCTCACCAAAAAAAAAAAAAAAAGTGCCATTGCATGTCCTCAGCATTCAGATGAGGAGGCCTAAGTACTAGAATTTAAAATGACTTATGATTTATAACAAGCTTGTGACTGTCCTAGTATGAAGTTCTGTATCTGAATCTCTAATATGCTACCTAGCTGTTGAGCCGTGTTGACACCCACACTAACTATCATTTGGCTTTAGTGATTCTGATGTTTTCAAACTAGAAGATAGCCACCAAAATTTTAGTGTTCTTTATAAAAATTTTGTAGTTCGGCAACTCTCCATTCCCTTATTTTTCTTAGAAACCAAAACTACTTATAGTTTTCTGGTATGTTAAGTAAGGCTAAGTTGTGGAATTTAAGAACCTCCAAGTTAAAGACTTCTCTTATTTTTTTTTTTCAATTAGAGAAGAAATGTGGAAAAAAACTGCATGCTATTTGGAAAATAGGAAGAACATCTATAATTTCATATTTTATGTTTTTCCTACTGTTTTTAATAAAGATATTTGTATAAATGTAAGTATGATTCAACATTTATTCATGGTATAAATATATATACATAGTCCTGTTTTCTCTTAAGGTTGTAACGTAAAGATTTTTGTAATTTCCAGTGTTCATAATTATTTAAAATGTTACCCAAAGTTTTGTCAGTGGATGAACCATAATTTTCTTAGTCATTCTACTGTTGGACACTTGATTTGCTTTCACTTTTTTCTGTATAAAAATGAGGCAGTGCGACATCTTTCTATGTACAGTTTCATTTTTTTGTTTGCTGAAGAAGATTTGCCCTGAGCTAACATCTGTGCCAGTCTTCCTCTATTTTGTATGTGGGTCACCGCCGCAGAATGGCCACTGACAAGTGGTGTAGGTCCATGCCTGGGATCTGAACCCGTGAACCCGGACTGCTGAAGCAGAGCGTGCCCAACTTAACCACTACACCACGGGGCTGGCCCTGTATGAAAAGTTTTTTCCCCCTCTGGGGGCTTTATTCACTTAGAGTAGAATCCTGTAAGTGGATGTTGGGCCAAAAGGTTTGAACATTTTTATGGCTCTTAATGTGTATTTCCAAAAATAGTTCTACCCTTCTATAATCTTTATTTTCCTTCGTGTCTTAATTCATTCAGTAAATGCATTTTTTTTTTCATGTAGATGCACATCTCCTATTAAGATTATTCTTAGGTCATTTAAATGCTCCTATTCTCCATTATTGTGGCTGAGATCTTTCAGTGTATTTTTGAACTTCTTAATAATAAGAATTATGGGCTTTTCAAACTGGATATATCATTTGGAAGTATTATGTAGTGAAATTAACCTAGAATCTAATCTAAACTAGTTACTAACCAAGTGATATTTAGGCCAGTCATTAAGCCCATTTCTTCAATTGTAAACTGAAGGGGTTCTCAGGTTTTAGGATTTTTATGGACTAGGAAAAACACAAAGCAAAGGAAAAAAAAGGAATTTAGGTAAGTTAAAGAAGAGAGTAGTTCCTAGAGATATAATTGTAGTTAAGGGATCATCAGTCTTATCTGCAGGAAAAAAGTGGTGAGGAGATTCTAGATTGGAATGTACTAAAAAGAAAAGTCAATTTTTAGGTAGGTCCTATTACTTAGTCTTATTATTTGAGATATGAAACATCTAGTGTGATGTGAACATGGCCATGATCTCATATTCATTCTCTTGTTCATCAAATATTGAGTATTTCTTATGTCTCAGGAACTATAAGTCATTAGAGGTAGTGAAATAAAAGACTCCAGCCTTGCCTTCAAGGATCTTACAGTTTAATACAGACAGATAAACAAAGATTATGTTACAATATCAAGATTAACAGAGAGGATACAGTTGGAGCACTGAGTGGGGGGGGGTCACCTAATTTAGACTAGAGATGTATGTAAACTAGGTTTTGAAGGCCATTAATTAGACTTGGGAGCCTGGGGCAACAGTTTGATTTTGGAAACTGCAGATGCTTAGATTATTAGAGCATAGGGCTGGAAAAAGAGTGTGCCAAAAAGATTTGAAGCTGCGGAGAGGGGCAGAGTCCAGATTATGAAGGTATGTATATGACTTTAAGAATTCTGCATTTTATTTTAAAGGCATTGGGGAACCAAGGAATTATTTAGTAATGAAGTATATTTTGAATTTGAAAAATATTTTTTGGCAGCAATACACAGATTGAATAGTAGGCAGAAAAAAAGAGGCTAAGGAGGCCATTTAGGAATAGACGAGTTCCTCAATTAAGACAGTGAGACTGTGAGGAGAAACCCATAACAAATATTAAGGACTTAGCCTGGATACAGTTTGGTGTTTATATGTAGGTAGATTGGGTAATGGAGAATGAAGAGTCAAGGATGCCTTCTTGATTCTCAAGTTGCATACTGTGGGCCTTGGAGTATGGAAGTTACATTCATTAAGATCAGGAATATAGGAGGGGAAGATTATAAGAATTGGACAATGGGGATGTGGAGAAAGGGAGGGAGGTGATATTACAGTTTTAGACATGTCAAGTTTAACGGACCTATGGGACATTCGGGTATATGGTGGATATGAGAATCTATATACGTCAGGTTACCAGAACTCAGAAGACATTAGGCTTTTCTTTGGTAAAGTACGTAATTATGAGTTGGTCTATTAGAGAATTATTTTCAAAAGGAAGACATTTCTAAAACTGTGTAGACTTTTTAAAAGGATATATAAAATTTAACTTTAAAACTATGTTGAAATCCTGGGATTCCTTTATCATCTCAACTGAGAATATCCAAGATAATATTCAATTTATTGTTATAGTTCCGTTATAGTTATACATATTTTAGAATTAGCACATAACTTTTAAAGCCAACATAAGTTAAATGACTTTTGGTTGCCTATGAATAAGAATACAGTCTACCAAACACTGCATCACTTTCACATTTTGGACGGAATGGATATTGAAAAATTTGGTGGCTTGGTCAAATTGTTGAGGATACTAATGGTTATTTGAAAATTACTGTCAAGGCTGACCTAGAGGATCTCTCCAAACAGTCTTAAATCAGGGTTAAAAGTAATATGGTAGATACTGTATGTTTTTTAAAAAAAATCTTATGTGGCTTCAATTATCAGAAGATAATAATATCGTTTCTTCTTGAGGCTTTGTTTTCCAGTATTTTGACTATATTACTATGAATTTAGAATAGCAAAATGAATGTTCTTGTATGACTATTTTCTATGGTACAAGGCTCTTCCCAGGGCCTTCTTGGTGTGTTTGTTTTTCCATCTTAATCTGAACACTGCTTCTTTAGTTAGTTTTATACTAAATCCATAAACATAATGAGATCTTTTGGTGAGAACTATGTTGCTTTACTTGTGAGAGGATTATCTTTACAAATATAGGTAAAGGCCTACTTTTAGAATAAATTAAAAATGGCAGCAGCTTTTCAAAAGTATAATATGCAGGAATAATACAGGGGAGTCAAACTGATTTGTCAAAAATAATTCACCAGGTGCCATAATGAAAATTAGTGCTTTCCTAGGATCTAAGTACGTTTAAGCAAATGGACTTGTTTGTTTTGTTTTGTTCTTTTGTTAGAGAGGTGGCACATCAGAATCACCTAGGGAATTTTTTCAAACTAGAACCGTTTTCTGGAGATGTAAGATAAGTTTATATGTTTCTCTTTTAGCTAGTCCCTTAGGCTTTTTAATCATTCCGCAGCAATTAATTGAATACCAGGTGCTCAGCAATGAATTCTAGGTATTTTTTTTTTAATTCTTTTTTTTTTCATAATTTTATTTATTTATTTATTTTTCCCCCAAAGCCCCAGTAGATAGTTGTATGTCATAGTTGCACATCCTTCTAGTTGCTGTATGTGGGACACGGCCTCAGCATGGCCAGAGAAGCAGTGCGTCGGTGAGCGCCCAGGATCCGAACCCGGGCCACCAGCATCGGAGCGCGAGCGCTTAACTGCTAAGCCACGAGGCCGGCCCTCTAGGTATTTTTGATGCTAGGACTTTTTCGGCCTCCCTCCCAAGTTTTACATGACTGCCTAAAAGATCCCTCTATTTTTTCTATTCTGTAAAAACATCATCTGTGAGTCATAAAGGAGCAAGGAACCACGGTGAGCAGAATCATTATTAGTGAATTAGAATTAAAAATACAAATAGAATAGAGAGGTGTGTTGAGTTCTGAAGAATGGAGGGGAGTTGCTAGATACTAGAGAGGACAGTAGAATTGAGGGAAAAAGCAGCAGATACTATAAATTAAGTTGGCAAAAGAGTTGGTGAGAAAATTGAAGTAAAAAATGAAATACAAATTAGCAACGATACTTAAAATAAAAATTTATGAACTGACTGATCTGTTTCTAAAGGTGGCTTATATTTAAAAAATTTACTCAAAAGTCAAATTGCATTATCTTGTATATGTTGAATATACACTACTTAAGATAAACCTGTAAAATGCTTAGAATTATGCTGTATGCTTATAGTAAGTCCTCAGCAAATATTTATTTTTATTAGTTGACAGCTACCTAATTGTGATTTGATGAAAAAGATATCCTTGTCAAGTATATTTCTAAATGAAAATCTGCTAATTTATGACATTTATAATGAATTACTAGGAAGGAAGATGTTTATTTGATAAAAAGCAAAGAGAAAGTAATCAAATCAGCTTAAGTTCAGCTGGTTTTGAAATATGATAAGTGCTCCTTCATAACACAACTTGGCTGTATACTCCAGATCAAGTGAAATATCCCAAGTAATAACTCTTCTTATACAAGGCCCTTGAGTTAACTCACCTTTAGTATCTGAATTAGTTATGCCTCCAAAGTTGTGTGCTATACTGTTATGTATGACAATATACATATATATGCATAATATATACAAATATATCCACTATATTTTTTGTGTGTGTGTAAGGAAGATGAGCCCTGAGCTAACACCTGTTGCCAGTCCTCCTCTTTTGGCTGAGGAAGCCTGGCCCTGGGCTAACATCCGTGCCCATCTTCCTCTACTTCATATGGGACACCGCCACAGCATGGCTTGACAAGCGGTGTGTCGTTGCACGTCTGGGATCCACACCCTGGGCTGCCGCAGCGGAGCTCGTGTACTTAACCCACCAGGCCGGACCCAAAATATGTCCACTGTATTTTGATAATTCGTTTTGTATTTTCCTGCTTCACACCCTTTAACCAAAACATTTACCTCCTTTTTTCTCCATCTATTCAAATCCTACCTTCTTTCTATCAAGATCTCGTGGGTTTTTTGGTGGTGGAGGGAAGGTAGCATATCAGAATCACCTAGGGTTTTTTTTTCAAGGTTATAATACTTTGCTCTTGCCCCAATTCATGTGATCTCTTCCTCTTCTAATACATACCTGTGTGTAGGAGTTAGTTTTGTAAATTATATGTTGACTCATCACATTTTCTTATTGTATATCAAGCTATGGTTTGTTTCCTTTTCGCATTATTTGTATTATCTTCTCAATCCAAGGATCTGCCTGTGGTACCTGGTAAAGTGTCATGCCTAGGAGCAGGCTCTTAGCAAGTGTTTGCTGGTAACTTATGTGGCTTATCTGAATTAGTTTGAAAAGGTTTGGAAAATATCTCACATTCTCACAAACCATAAAATTCACTCTTTCAAAGTATACAGTGGTAAAAATTCAGTGGTTTTTAGTATATTCACAAAGTTGTGCAACCATCATCACTGTCTCTGGTTCCAGAACAATTTTCATCACCCATTAGCCATCACTCCCCATTCTTCCCTCCCTCCAGCGCTTGGCAACCACTAATCTGTCTGTTGCTATGGCTTTCCTTATTCATATAAGTGGAATCATACAGTGTGGCTTTTTGGTATCTGACTTCTTTCATTTGGTCATGCATCTTGTAGTATCAGTACTTCTTTCCTTTTTATGGCCGAATAATATTTCGTTGTATGGATATACCAGATTTCACTTAACATTTTGTCAGTTGATGGACGTTTGGGTTGTTTTTACCTTTCGGCAAATATGAATAATGCTGCTCTAAACATTTGTGTACAAGTTTCTATGCGGGCATATGTTTTCAGTTCCCCCGGGGGGTAGGTAGGTAGGATTGGAATTCCCTATCATATGCTAACTCTATGTTTAACTCTTTGAGGAACTGGCAGACTGTTTTCCAAAGAGGCTACATGATTTTTACATTTCCACTAACAATATTTGAGATTTACACTTTCTCCACATCCTCACCAATACTTGTAATTGTCTGAGTAGCCATCCTAGTAGGTGTGCAGTGGTATCTCATTGTGGCTTTGATTTGCATTTCCCTAATGACTAATGATACTGAGCATCTTTTCATGTGCTTATTGGTCATTTATATATTTTTTGGAGAAATGTTTGTTCTAATCTTTTGCCCATTTTTAAAGTTTTTTTTTTTTCAAACAGTTTTATTTATTTTTTTGTGAGGAAGATCAGCCCTGAGCTAACATCCGTGCTGCTACTCCTCTTTTTGCTGAGGAAGACCGGCTCTGAGCTAACATCTATTGCCAATCCTCCTCCTTTTTTTTTCTCCCCCCCCCAAAGCCCCAGTAGATAGTTGTATGTCATAGTTGCACATCCTTCTAGTTGCTGTATGTGGGACGCGGCCTCAGCATGGCCGGACAAGCGATGCGCGCCCGGGATCTGAACCCGGGCTGCCAGTAGCGGAGCGCGTGCACTTAACCACTAAGCCATGGGGCCGGCCCTCTTTTGCCCATTTTTAAATTTGATTATCTTTTTATTCTTAAATTATAAGTTTTTAATATATTCTGGATACAAGCACCTTATCAGATATATGATTTGCAAATATTTTCTGCCGTTCTTTGGGTTATCTTTTCACTTTCTTTTCTTTTTTTTTTTTGTGAGAAAGACCAGCCCTGAGCTAACATCCGATGCCAATCCTCCTCTTTTTTGCTGAGGATTGGCCCTGGGCCAACATACGTGCCCATCTTCTTCTACTTTATATGGGATGCCGCCACAGCATGGCCTGGCAAGCGCTGGTCAGTGCGTGCCTGGGATCTGAACCTGTGAACCCCGGAGCGCTCACACTTAACCGCTGTGCCACCGGGCCGGCCCCACTTTTCACTTTCTTGATAGTGTCCTTTGAAGCACAAAGGCTTTTCATTTTGATGATGTCTGGTTTATCTGTTTTTCTTTGGTTGCTTGTGCTTTTGATGTCGTATTTAAGAAACCATTGCCTAATCCAAGGTCATGAAAATTTATACCTGTGTTTAGTTTTAGCTTCTACATTTAAGTCTCTGATCCATTTTGAGTTAATTTTTTGCATATGATATGAGGTAGAGATCTCACTTCATTCTTCTACATGTGATTATCCAGTTATGCCATCACCATTTGTTAAAAAGACTATTCTTTTCCCATTGAATGTTCTTGACAGCCTTGTCGAAAATCATTTGAATGTAAATATAAGAGTTTATTGCTGGACTCTCAATTTTATTTCATTGATCTATGTGTCTGACCTTATGCCAGTACCATACTATCTTGATTACTGTAGTTGTGTAGTAAGGTTTGAAAATGGGAAGTGTGAGTCCTCCAACTTTGTTCTTTTTCAAGATTGTTTTGGTTTTCTGAGCTCTTTCATTTTCATATGAATCTTAGGATCAGCTTGTCCATTTCTGCAAAATAGGCAGCTGCAGTTTTCATAGGGATTCTATTGAACCCATAGATTAATTTGGGGAGTATTGCCATCTTAACAATATTAAATCTTCTCATCCATGAGCATGAAATGCCTTTTCATTTTTTTAGGCCTTAACTTCTTTCACTGAAAATGTTTTGTGGTTTTCAGTGTACAAGTTTTGCACTTCTTTTGTTAAATTTGTTCCTGAGTGTTTTATTCTTTTTGATGCTATTGTAAATGTAACTGTTTTCTTTATTTCATTTTCAAATTGTGCATTACTAGTGTATGGAATTGCAATTGATTTTTATATATTAATCTTGTATCTTGCAATCCTGCTGAACTCCTTTATTAGTTCTGATTCATACTCCTTTTTCTAGGGACAATTTATGTTTATTCTTCAATATAGTTCATTTTGCCCTTCTGCTTCCAAATACTACATGCCAACAGTAGGGCATCTACTGTTGTTCTATCTACTGGCATTCTATCTTGTTACAAGATAGAATTTTTCCTATTTGTCCAATCCTGCTCCTTTGTGACTTGAGAAAACTTGTGCATGTATGAAGAGTAAGATTAGACAGCTCAGGACAAAAGTTGTGGCCACATTATGTCAAAATTTTCATTTAGTGCTGACTGTAGCATAGGATTAAGAACTGAGGAATTATGGGTCGGCCCCGTGGCTTGGCGGTTAAGTGCGCGCGCTCCGCTGCTGGCGGCCCGGGTTCGGATCCCGGGCGAGCACCGACGCACCGCTTCTCCGGCCATGCTGAGGCCGCGTCCCACATGCAGCAACTAGAATGGATGTGCAGCTACGACATACAACTATCTACCAGGGCTTTGGGGGAAAAATAAATAAATAAAATCTTTAAAAAAAAAAAAAAAGGAACTGAGGAATTGTAGTCTAGTATTTAAAACAATGTGTTTTACCTGTAGTAAGGGCCATCTGAGATGTTTGTTACAGGAATAAATAAATGCCTATATTTATGATGTGTATATATGTATGCAAAATAAATTCTATTGGTCAGTAATTTGTAAAGTCTTCGTCTTCCAGTAGTAAATAGGTGATTTTCAGTAACGCATCTGGAAAGCTTGAATCATACAGAGTTTTCGAAAAAAAAGGAAAATAATGGCTAAGCAATGAGGGTAAGAGAGAATTAGGAAAAGAGGGAAGAGAGGCAAGGAGTCAAGATTAATCACTTGAATTTTGTTAATACAGACAATACTATTATTTAAATAGATATATCAGCTGATTAGGAACAAAGAAGAAACAATGATAATGGATTATTATTCCTCAAATTCAAACTTCTGGTTTTTTTTAGTCTGAGTCAGAAAGAACCTAAAATGGCGAATACATATATAAAAAGATGTTCAACCTCACCTGCAATGAGGGAAATGAAGAGGTATACTCTGGTTAGCTTCTGATGTGTTCTGTTGATCAACAAGGATTAAATAAGTGCAAAAAACACACCCTAAAAAGTGTGCTTATTTAATAAATTTTATTTTCCATTCTTATTAATGTTGTTGTTCTTATCACTATCCTTTAGGCGTTAAAATAGATATAAAGATGCATAGAGTGGTTCCTCCTGCCCCACCCCCCTTTAAGCAAACATTTATCAGAAGCTTTCTATATGTTATACATTATTGTATTTAATACTCAGAACAAACCTCATGGGGTAGATATTATTTGCATTTCACAAGTGAGGAAATTGAAGCTTAGGAAGTCAAGGTTACACAGCTTGAAACAGGAGGAAGGAGAATTTGAACCCAAGTTTTTCTGATTCTAAAACCTAGTCTTGAACTCTAAATGGCTATACTAATACTGCTTCTCCACTCCCTTTGAGGAGCTTACACTCAGGTTGATAATATTACATGTAATACTCCTTGGATCCTTAAACGATAAATAACTATTAAGATTTAAAGCAGAATTTTAAAATTGAATTTTTATTTTACTTCAGAAAAATCTCAAATCTTTGCTTTTGGAAAACAAATAAAGTATTTGCCCATTCTTTTAATGTTGCTGCTATTACCCAGCTGTCATATTTTCAAAGATTTCCTTGGTGTCCTCACTTTGAAAAGCTGGCTCTTGAGACTCATGGAGTCAGGCTTTGGGTCCAGAAGCTAATAGACAGACTCAGTAAAAGAGGAAGTCCTGGGAAAGCTCCTTGAAAATTTTAGGACAAGAATTTATAGCTTAAAGAGTGGATAAAAGTTGAGAAGAGTAAAATAACTCTAAGTTTTTTCTCTGTCTCTAAGACTTCTGTTTTACCTTAGATCTTACCAGCATAAAAAAATATCAAGTATAATGTGATTGTCTTATAGTTACTTAAAAATTAATATGTATTTTATTTCTTTTTGATTGAGCCTCTATGGAAGTTTTATATCATTTGCTTTTTTGTGTGTTATACCTTTCTTGGGGAATCTCACATTCAGTGCAAACCTTTGTGTTGAATTTGATTTGTTGAGTTTGGAACAGTAGGATTCCCCAGAAGGAAATTTAGCAAAGAAATCATCCAAAACTTTGGATGGTATTGTGCCCTTTGAAAAATGAGTTTCTAAAGAGATTTAAAATAACCGATAGTGGACTACCTCCAAAGGATTGCTTCCTAAATCTTGGGTCAGAGACATGTTTGGCTCCTGACTTGATGAACTTTTTTCAATTTTAAGCTTCATTCATGTTTTCTATGATTATTTGTTTATTTCTTCATTTCAGGCCACCTCTTTTTTCCTTTCCTCTTCTTTTATCAATAACTTCAAGGCTTTTTCTTCATGCCTTTCAGAACATCCCTTCCAGTGTGTATCAGCTTCTTATTTTTAATTCTTACTTTTTATGTTGTAGGCCCAAAGTGAATTGATTAAGGCTTTCTGCCTGAGTTATTGAATCTTACTTCTTAAGTACACATATACACAGAGTTTAAAATCCCACTATTACTCAAATGAAATCAATTCTAGATTGTATCATCAGAGACTGTGTCTGCTGACAGGTCAGATGTTGTTTTCAGTACCCTTTTTTGGGGACATTATGACAGACGAGGGGTATTTAATGCCTTAGTTGATGATAACATTATCACTTTTTATACTTTGTTTGTAGAATATAGAAGGAGCTAAACAGAAAGGCATCTTTTCTATTCCTTCTTTATGATTTAGAAAACAGAAGAATTCTTCACTAAAATTTAGTTATCTTATTCTTAGCAATGATGATAATAGTAATAGCAATAATGGCTGATACTCATTGAGCTCACTGTTTTTAATATTTTATTTCCATTATTTAATCCTCACTACAATCCTTTGAGGTATACATATAATATTATCCCCACTGTACAAATTAGGAAACTGATGCTTACAAAGCATATGACTCGCCCAAGGGATAAGAGAGGGAAATCCGTAAGCAATTCAAAGTTGGTATAGTTAAAATGAACTCGTGTTCTCCGTAAGTTCAATTAGACTCTAAGCTCCCTGAGGTCAGGAACTTAATATCATGTTTATTGTTTTATTTCTATTACCTAACACAGGATTTGAGTATTGCAAAAGTGCCGGACATATGGTGTATGCTTAGTTTTTTTAAGTGAATAAATGAGGTTGTGAAAGGCTGATTCATTAGCCTTAACCATGAACCTTCTGGAGGGGATCCATATGAATTTCATTTGCATTGCGTGACTTATTCCTTTTCCTTGGACTACCAATTTCGCTATATCTGGCGGGGTACCTGGCAAGTTCCTATTCATTCTTCAATTTCCAACATAATTCCATCCTTTCTGTGATACCTTCTTGTCTCTTTTAAGCAGGATTTGTTGTTCCTTTCTCTATCCTCCCATTTTTCCTTTAACTTTTATTATAGTACCTACTATATCGTATTGTAATTATCTTCTTCTCCTAGCCTAGGAATACTTCATAGGTCAGGAGAGGGAGCGGTGATGGCTGTCTTATTCATCTCAATTAAATTCAACATTAAGTACAGTTTCTGGCGCTTTGGGCACTCACTAAATGTTTGGGCTGAATGATTTCATACAAACAGACTAAAAATAGACTTGTAGGTGAGTGTTGAGGCAGTTTATTTCAATGTTGTCCTCTTTGAATTACTGTTATTTGCTTAGTGATTTTAGGCTACTCCTTAGATTATGGAAAATCATTCCTCTAGGCTGCTTTCTTTCAGAAATGTTAATAATTGAGGAGATACTATAGCATCTCAAGATTGCTGCTAGGGTTTTCTAAGACGTTCTCTGACATCCTTATCCTTTGGGGAAAAAATTTTAAGAAAGGAGGAAAAAACTTAATAAAAGATGTGATCATAGTTAAGCCCGAGTCTAGGAATGAACACGTTATTTAAGAATTTGAGTACAGAAAGGAGCATATTAGGTTAAATTCTAGGATCCTTATATATAGAATATAAGGCAGAATTCTCTCTGCTCTTGCACACACCACATACTGTATAGGATTGTTTATGAGGTTCAGTAGAGATAATAGGAATAGAAGTGCTTATAAAAAGGGTAGTGCTATATGTTAGTTTCTGCAAAAGGAATTTTATTAAACTATTAGTATACTGTAAATTAAATGATTCTTAGAAATTTTTTCAAAAACTGTATTAGTTATCTGTTGTTATAACAAGTTATTCCAAAATTTAGCAGCTTAAAACAGTAAACATTTCTTATCTCACAATTCCTGTGGGCCAGGAATCTGGGTGCAGCTTCGCTGGGTGCCCTCTAAACTCTGTCTCACAGGCTGCAGTCAAGGTATCAGTGGGGGCTGCAGTCATCACAAGGCTAGACTAGCAGAAGATCTGCTTCCAAGCTTACTCACTTGGCTGTTGGCAGGTTACAAGTTCTCACTGGTTCTTGGCTGGAGACTTCAGTTCCTTGTCATCTGGGCCTCGCTATAGAGCAGCTCACAACATGACAGCTAACTTCCCTTAGAGTAAGGGAGTGAACTCATGACAGAAGCAGTAGTA